ATGATCTTTTTGGCAGTGTCCTCACACTGACTCCTTTGTGCTTAGGCACCTGAACTAAGTGTTTTCACATGTGTATGACCAACCCATTTAATGCCCATAGAGAAGTTTTATCTCTTACATTCCTTAAATATATTCAGTGGGGGCGTGTTCTTTGCCTGTGGCTGAATGAAGACTGGGGTACCACACGTTTTGGGCAGGCTTCGGTAATAAGCAGCAGTCACTATGTACAAATTACAAAACACCAGCTACATCAAAATGCCACAGATGAGTTAAGATGGTCTGCTTTCTTCCCTGACTTGGGTACCTCCGAGTTTTCTATAAAACCCAAACACCAGCCCACCACAATTACCCCAAATAACAGGAGATACAGAAAAAGCTCTCCAAGCGGTCCCACGAAAGTCCCTTCAGTAACTTGATGTGAAAGGCAATCATATACACCACCAACAGCTCTCTTACAAAAAATTAATCCCTTAATCTCTCATGCCTGACTTTTTGTACACTTGGTGTGTGTGGGTGTGTTGTAAAAGTAATCTAACCCAAGTCTTTTGAAATTTGATCTTAAGACTCAATAAGAATTTTAACACCATGATCCGGTATACACTTGTGAAACAGTGCTATTTTACTATATTCACTATTTTTCCATTATGTGATTATCCTAAAATACAGAATGTACATCACTGAACAGGTTTGATAACGCTTTCTAAAATGTCACAATACATAGCTGGAGAAACACCAGTAATTGGTTCTTAGACCCATTTGAAAATACTCATCTTGATTTAGTACGAGTTGGGCATTCCTAATCTGAAATCTAAAATGCTCCAAAATCCAAAATTTATTAAGGGCCAACCTGATACTAGAAGTGCAAAATTCATGAACTCAGGTGATGGGTCATAGCCCAAGTGCTGCAATACAAAATACTCAGGCTGTGTAAATAAAGTCTATATGCACATGAATGGATTTCGAGTTTAGACTTGGATCCTATCTCCAAAATATCTCATTCTTTGTATATGCAAATTACAAAATTTGGGAAAAATCCCAAATCTGAAAGACTTCTGATTCCAAGCAGTTTGAATAAGAGGTACTCAACTGTTACTCAGTTTGATGTCAGACATCTAGATATTCCATTTTATTATACAGTCCTTCTGAGGGAGATTGATACTTTTGGCAGTCTCTATGCTATTGAAGACTTTCCTGCTACTATAATACTCAGGGCCACACTTTGCACAAATCTGGAAAGCCCTATTCATGTCATGGTTTGGGTAGATGGCATTTCTGGAGTGACAAATACCCAGTCTTGCCTGATCATAAGCGAAAGCACTGCTTGTCTGCCTTTGCTCTACTCATGTTAGTCTTCAACAATTCTTTCTGCAGGTTGGTTGCGTTCAAAAGCCCCCAAATTGGAACTTTGAAAAGCACAGCTGAAGAGCGAGTCCGAGCAGAAGACAACGTCTACATTATTGAGGATAATATTTATATCGTAAATTAAGACACATTGGCATTCTTAGGGGTTTTATGCCCATGACTACAGAAGACAGTTTGACCAGATGTGACTGTTGGACACTTTCTAAATTTTAGAACCGTTTTTCAGTGTCAGTTTTATCTGGCGTTCTCACATGTCAGTGATGTTGGATAAAGTGACGCTTTAGCTGAAAACTATGTAGAGTCAACCTCATTGTTAACATAGTTCTAACTTTTAGTACTAAAACTGGCACTATTTTTCTGGTCATTACAGAGTCCTCTCTCAAACATGAACACTTCAGAATGATATGCTTTATTTTATTGTACTTTTTCTAACTTTTTATATTCAAACACTGTATATCTGTACAAAATTAAAAATGAATTGTCTCAGCATAACTACCCTGTATGTTACTCCAGTCAAAGAAACTTCCATAAACATTGTCGTTAATAAACAATTTTCCTTTTTTTTGTCTGTTGAATGTTTTTTTCCCCCCTGATTCCCTCCCACCCCTGCCATTTCCCGCCCTCCTCCCATACTATATCTGGTATGCACACTCTCTCTCCATGCTTCCATATCCTCCAAACGTTCAGTTTCTGCCATAGAGTGAAGACATTTGGTATATATTAAAGGGGACATACAATGGTTCTCTTTCACAGTCACACTTACTTTACTTAGCATTAAATCTTCCACATTCATCCACTTTCTATCAAATGCCAGGGTCTCATTTTTTTTTTTTTTTTTTGCTGAGTAGTATTCCATGGTGTATTTTGGCCACATTTTCTCAATCCATTGATCTGTTCTTGGACATTTGGATTGCTCTTTAAACCTATGTCTATTAGAAAATAATCATTGAGAATACAGAAAATAATCTGTCTTGGCTACCAAAGCTGATAAGAGGAGGAGAACAGGACTTGAAAATCAGCAAATCTGAGTTGAAATTTCATTTAGAAGCATGTCATGGTTACTTCTTGTTTTTATATTATAACTCAAAATGTTACATTTTTTAGGTTCTTCAGTGGTTTCAAATCATGAGTGGACACAGGTTTACCCTTGTAGATATATGTGTATTCTGATGGCTCCAGAAATATGATGCATGAAATGCTTGAATCCTAGATCAAAATGACTGTTGGAAGTTAGAAGAAGCTACAATAATGAGTATGGATCAAGTAGAGGCCAGGGGGAAGAAAACAATTTGCCATGTGCTCTAGCACATTTGTGCTGTTTCTACTACATATGTACCATGGTGCTAGGCACATACACAGACAACCATCAGGCTCTCTTAATTTTTAGAATAAAGCAAGGTAGAAATGAAAAGAAAAAAAAGAGGAAGGCGTAGGGGGAAAAGGCTTTCTATCTTAGAAAAGGTATATTACAAATATAATACTATTTGACAGTATCAATAGTTTCAACTAAAATTCTAAATTTCTTTCTTTCTTTTTTTTTTTTTTTTCGGAGAGGTTTTTGCTATAGGGTGTGTGCACTCGCCAGAAAGACAAAGAGAGAGACAGAAAGACAAAGCGAGAAATCATACCCCCCAGGAGGATGGCCATGCTGCAATCCCTTCTCCTCCATTCTCCTCTTGGGATCTTGGGCATACATGCACATGCGTCTGGCATGAGTTTAAGCCACCAGGTCTGAGACTCAAACCACAGTCGACTCTATGGGAGTCCAGTGACATAGTCATTTTGCCAACTGCTGGTCCCTAAAATTCTAAATTTCTAATTTGCCTCCAAACCACTTTTACATTTAAAATTGTTTCAGAAGTTGAAGGGCCATTTTCATCTCTAAACAATGCTATATGTTACTTTTTAAACATTTTTAATGTTTTTGCTATAGGGCACATGCAATCAGCAGAGAGAGAGAGAGAGAGAGAGAGAGAGAGAGAAAGTAAGGAATGAGTCCCTAAAGGGATGGCCATACCACAATCCTCTGCAGTCTCCTCTCAATATTTTGGGCACACACATACACACACACACACACACACACACACACACACACACGACATATTCCTCAAGCTGCTGGGTCTGGGACTTGAACTACACAGTCGGCTGGCCACGTGGGATTCAGCTGCCTTAACCACCAACACCATCAGCTAGTCCTGTATTTTTCAATTCAATTACATTGTGAGTTTTGCTAAGAGAGTTAAACAAAACTTTATTGTAAAGATATTCTTCAGTCACTAATATGATTATTTAATAAAAGGGTAGATTTGCAAGAGCTAGTGTTGTCAGAAGAGAAAAATTTCTACAAGAACAGTTAACAAGGCTGGGTATTACTTTCTGTTTCAATTGGGGTAAACCCTGTGATAATTCATGCTTGTGGTTTAGAGCCACTCACATCATAGTGGTCTAAAAGGGCAGAATGCTTGTCATTTTCAATAGGCTATAGTTTCAGTACTGTTCTGGAGAATTCCAGGAAACTGATAGGTTTGCTGAATGAAAGTTTTATGGACAAATAAAACTGATATGTGGCATACCAGATTTCCCAAACAGGGCTAGCCTGATGAAGTCTAAAAATTTATTTTGCTCAAACTGCAATCTTTGCTTAATTTGAGGCAAAATGCAGATTTGAAATGAAAGCCCAGATTTGTAGCTTTTCTGGGAAGTCATGGCAAGACAGGGCTGCGTTCCTGCATGGGTAGGGCCCCACTAGATGGGACCGCACTCTCACTCCCCAGTTCTTTCTTCCTTGCCTGCTTACTTTTTCTCCCTGCCTGATTCCAGTGGCGTTTTGCATTCATGGCACCTGCTACATTCTCTATACCCTTCCTGGAGTCTGATGATTTATGTTAAGGCTTTGGGAATCTGGTTGAGTTTGCTTAATCTAGCATTTTCAAAACTTATTTGAACACAAGAGCCCAGTGACTAGTATCATTCTGTGAAACAGACTGAGAACTTAAAGGAAAGTAGTATTCATACAAGAGGTAATTGAAACTTACGGAAAATGCATATTTTGAAAAAAATTACACACAATAATTTTTTTGCACCGAAATAAATTTATGCTGTAATTCCATTTCCTGACAAACTTTTGGAAATCTCTTTGTACAGGGATAAAGATAGGACTTGAGTTCTGATTTTTACTCTCAAAAGAACCAACCATTGGATGACATTAGGACAAGCCGTCCTCTTCTTTTTGAAAGAATTGTTTAATTTTATTCATCTTTTTTTTCTAGAAAAGAATGATTTTATTTAACTTTATTTATTTAATTTATTTATTTTAACTTGACCAGAGAGGGACAGAGAGAGAGAGAGAAAATGAGAAAGCAAGCCGCCAGGTCCGGGACCCAAACCATTGTAGTCAGCCATGTGGGAGTCCAGTGCCCTTAACCACCACCTGCCAGCCCCTATCATTATTATTATTTTTAATTTGACTAGAGAGAGAAAAAAAAAGAGAGAGAGAAAGTGAGGAAATAAGCCATCAGGTCCAGTATTCGGTAGTGGTCATTTCAGTGAAATCTGACTTGTGAGAATCTTTGAAAAGTAAAAAAACACACAGAAATGCAAAGTCCCCTTCCCCAGTAGATTTTGTAGTAATAGCAAATCTCGTATTAGTGCTCAGTACTTTATTTCAGAAGTCTCTTTCTATATGGTATCTTTTTTTAAAAAAATTTTTGTCGACAGAGTTGATGTTAGGTAATTTGGCTATATATTAGAGAAGAAATTTGTCAATGGCTGTGAGGAAGAATGGGTAAGAAGAGAGTAATGGGAGGAATTAATATGATTTAAAAAATTTGTAAGTGTTTAAGATCATAATAAATTTTGTCTTTTTTTTTTTTTTTTTGTCCTTCAAGACACAGTTGAAATTTTGTTATCTACAGTCTTTCTTAGGATGGTATGATACTGGTGTACTTAAGACAATATTTAAACAAAAAAAAATTTGCATATCTCTAAGAAGTAGCAGAACCAGTTGTTCACTGATGGCCATAAAAGTGGAATAATTCTGTGAATACATGAAGGTGCAAGGGACTTATATTTCATTGGTATGTACACTCAGAAGTGTTTTGTTTTGTTTTCTTCCATTTTGAAACCTGGTTCGCTTTTTTCTTTGGCTCATCGTTTCTTTGGGCCAGGCATCTTCGCCTTGCTGTATTCTCCCAGGACAAGGTCAAAGTGGGTCAAAAAATTTGTCAAGAGGCAAGTAGATGTCAGGTACTCTTCCAGGTACTGAGGATATAGCAGAGAACAATCCTCAATTCTAGTTCCTGAGAAGCTTCAATTTGGTGGTGAAGAAACAGACAAAAACTATGATTACTGCTACTCACTAATGCTAAGGAAAGATGATATTGTGATAGGGCTTAGTCTTCCAACTATTGCATTTAGAACCAGAAAACTTCATGATGGGGAGTATCTTGTATGTTGAAGGACATTTAGCATCTTCCCTGGTCTCTATCCACCAGAAGCCAGTCACGCCCTCAGTGGTAACAACTGAAAATGTCTCCTAAAAATGGCATGACCTGCGGTTGAGAACCACTGTGATAGAGGGCATCTGGAGGTGGGGTGGGACTTGGGGAGTGCTGCAGCTTTTGCTGGAGCAAAGGGCTGCCTCTGGGAAAGAGGTGACATTTACACTGAAACCAAAAGACCGTGTAAGTGGCAGCCACACGAAGATCTGGTGAAAGGAATCTGCTAAATGCAAAGGCCCAGGGTCAAGAAACGACGTGTGTACTAAGGGAGGAAGTTGAGTTCCAGGAACTGAAAAGGTCAATGTGGCTGAAGCAAAGCAGACGAGGAGAGCTGGAGAAAAGGCATGCTGGTGAGCTGGACATCATGCTGGATGGAAAAGGGTTCTGTGAACACATCTGCTGGAGAAGAGTCCCACTCTTGGAAAATAAAGCACTTTTGCATGCTAAAGGTTAAACCTGCTGTCCACCACATATTTTAATGCCTGTTCACATGCTTCAGTGACATATCTGAGTTCAGGGATATCTCCATGAGAAAAGCCAGCACAGTAGGGATGATAGAATGATGAGGAGAGGGAAGAAGGGAACATCCTAGCAGCCAGCAGCTTTCTCCAGGACTGTGTGATTGTACTTGAGTCCAAGAAGAGGGGTCTTAGAAGAGGAATGGGATATCAAAGCTTGGCTGTGATTGCAGTAGTGCCAGAGCAGCCGAGCTACTCTTCCAAAACTTATATAGCTTTGACAGACAGTAGAAGGATGGTGCAGGAGCTGGCATGGGTAGGTCCACAAATAGACTTTTACAAGTTATGGGGCTGGCCTTATGGCCTAGTGGTTAAGGAAGTCAGATCCCCATGACCGACTGTGGTTTGAATCCCAGCTGTGGTGGCTTGAAAGACACAAGGCACATGCACATGTGTGTGTTTGTGTGTCCAGAATCCCAAGAGGATGGAGAAATGGATTGAGAATGGATTGCGGCATGATTATACCCTGTTGGGGGTGCTTATCCCCTTCTGGTAAACACATGCCCTCTGGTGT